CCTGGTTTAGTCCTGGTTCAGTCCTGGTTCAGTCCTGATTTAGTCCTGGTTTAGTCCTGGTTTAGTCCTGGTTCAGTCCTGGTTCAGTCCTGATTTAGTCCTGGTTTAGTCCTGGTTTAGTCCTGGTTCAGTCCTGGTTCAGTCCTGGTTTAGTCCTGGTTCAGTCCTGGTTTAGTCCTGTTAGTCCTGGTTAGTCCTGATTTAGTCCTGGTTTAGTCCTGGTTTAGTCCTGGTTTAGTCCTGGTTTAGTCCTGGTTAGTCTGGTTCAGTCCTGGTTTAGTCCTGGTTTGGTTTAGTCCAGTCCTGGTTTAGTCCTGGTTTAGTCCTGGTTTGGTTTCAGTCCTTAGTCCTGGTTTAGTCCTGGTTCAGTCCTGTTTGTCCTTCAGTCCTGTTCAGTCCGGTTCAGTCCTGGTTTAGTCCTGGTTTAGTCCTGGTTTAGTCCTGGTTTAGTCCTGGTTCAGTCCTGGTTTAGTCCTGGTTTAGTCCTGGTTCAGTCCTTTAGTCCTGGTTTAGTCCTGGTTTAGTCCTGGTCAGTCCTGGTTTTAGTCCTGGTTTAGTCCTGTCAGTCCTGGTTCAGTCCCGGTTCAGTCCTGTTCAGTCCTGGTTTTAGTCCTGGGTTTAGTCCTGTTTTCCTGGTTTAGTCCTGGTTTAGTCCTGGTTTAGTCCTGGTTCAGTCCTGGTTTAGTCCTGGTTTAGTCCTGGTGTCCTCAGTCTGGTTTAAGTCCTGGTTTAGTCCTGGGTTAGTCGTTTAGTCCTGGTTTAGTCAGTCCTGGTTTAGTCCTGTTTAGTCCTGATTGGTTTAGTCCTGGTTTCCTGGTTTAGTCCTGGTTCAGTCCTGGTTAGTCCTGGTTAGTCCTGGTTCAGTCCTGGTTTAGTCCTGGTTTAGTCCTGGGTTCAGTCCTGGTTCAGTCCTGGTTTAGTCCTGGTTTAGTCCTGGTTTAGTCCTGGTTTAGTCCATCTTATCTGTTTTTCATTTTGGTTTCGGAGATAAATAATGAACAAAATAGTCGTTTTTTCATTTTCTTATTTTTGGTTTTATTTTGAAAGACAAATGAACAAATTCACGTCGCACTCTCTTCTTTCCGTCCAGAGAATCTTCCCTTTTTTATTAGAAAAACGAATCCAAATTTTACTCCATGCATCAAAACAAACAAAAAAAATGAGAAAACAGAAAACCAGAAAACAGGAGGTGAAACGGTGATGGACGAAGTGTTTTCAGAGATTTGGTTCAGATTGAGACATTTTCCCTTGAATCTGGAGACGGTAAAAGTCTTGATCGATGTCGGTGCTTTGGCTCGTCTCTCGTTTGGCTGCGGCGCGACTTCACTCACACGATTTTACTGCACGTCCAGAAACGACGGAGCGGCCAGAGAATCAACTCACACAAGAAAACTGCAGTGTCGGGAGTAACAGATTACATGTACCAGAGTAATCAGAGTACAAATGATGAGTAACTGTATTCAGTTACAGTTACTGTTTCAGTGAGTGGGAATTGGATTACAGTTACTTTGTTGAAGTAAATGGATTAAACAGAGGGATTTTACTGTTTCACATTTTGGACTTTTTTTTTCTTCGGTAATTCCACTCATTGCCGGAAACTAAACCAGGTCTAAACCAGGTCTAAAACCAGGTCTAAACC